TAATAATTTATTTTTTTATTTATTCATCAGTAGTTTGGGCCCGTATCTTCCAGAATTTACGGTATGATCTGATACAATTCAGTATTATCGAAAATTCAATATTTTGTGTATTTTTTTAAAGGAAAAAAATGGTCAATATCTAATATTATTGATATTTTGAACATGATTTGAAGTTAGTTTCTTATCAATGAGGTATCTAGTTAGAGTCTCTAGGATAAAGAAACAAGTGTTTGATAAGGACAATAACTTTTAGTTTTTGTAATTTTTTTTTTTGAGACAGGACCTTCCGGTTTTCGGATCCACAAGGGAACCGACTAATCCGGAATCGAGCCGGGTAGGACCACAAGGGCGGCAAAGCTCTCCCTCGATAGTTTTTGTAATTCTAATTAATTACATATTTTATTTTTTGTTAGTATATGTTTGTTTGAGTTTTCCTCTAAACTACTACTCGTGATCCTAATTATATAATTAGTAAAATGTTTGGTCATAAGTTACAAGCTTAATTAATTTGATCACACTTATTTCTTTAAATTGATGAAAGTGTATTATTGTTATTACTTATTGGTGATGATGTTTACTCGAATTTGTTGCTCAATTGAAATCAAAATGGAATTACAGTGAGTTGGTTTGACAGTTTAATGATTTCTGACATTTGTGTAAAAACAATTGCATGTGTAAACATTAAAAATGTGGAATTAGGTGGGTGTTTAAATAACATTAATTAATTTACACAATTTAAATATCACAAATTATTGTATATAATGCATACAAAATGCATACAAATATTATGAAGTAAAACATAATTATTACTATGTTGTTTTGTGAAATATAACATATCAATTTAAAAATATGCGTATATACATATGAAAAAAGTATGATTGTCTTAGACGAGTCTAATAACAACCACTACAAAAAAAAAACACTTCAATTCTAACGAAAATTTCCAACGGCAAAAATTTCCGTTGGAAGTTTCATTGAATATTCCAACAAACTTAATTTTATGTTGGCATAAGTGTTGGATGGTTGAAGAATTCCAACGGATTTTTTTCCGTTGGAATAATTGTAGGAATTTATTTCCATAGGATTTTTCGTTGGGTTTTAGCTATTCCAACGGTCGTTTTTCCCACGAATTTTTATACGTATGAATATCCGTTGGAATAGCTATTCCAACGGAAAATATAAAGAATTCCAACAGAAAATTTCCGTTGGAATGTAAGAGTTTTTTTTTTTTTTTTTTTTTTTTTTTTTTTTGTAGTGGGCTTGACTAAAAATATATGTTAATTTTGTACTAATATAATGGTTTAAATAAAATTTAAAGCTTAATTATCAACTTTCATAACATTATAAAGGAATCAAAACTTACAATAAACTTTTATATAAGATGAAGAAAATACTTTTTTTTTTTTTAATTTTTAGTCATGCAGCTTCAAACCATATTCTTATAATTGGCTAATAATGAACTTTTTAAATATGAAAAAGCTAATTACGAGTTCTATCTATCCACAATAATTACCTGTAACCAAAATATAAATTAATTATTCATTCATTAAATAAATACTTAATGTAGAATGTACATTGTAATACAGTTGTGATAGTTGTGAAATGGTTCGGAGTTAGATTTATTTTTTAAATTAAATATTATAATGGTGATGTTTAAAATAATGTAATAGTTGCCATTATATTTGGAAAATAATTGAACATTGTTTATAGATATGAAAAAGTAGTTGACATGAGGAACACATATAGACAACCAACTATAAAAAATAAATTGTAATAAATAATTATTAATGGCATTTGACAAATATTGTTAGTTATGTTTCATCATCTTATTAACTCCCATTGAATATAAATTGTAACATGTACAAATTGTGTATATAATTTACCCCGTACAATTAAAAAAGAAATTAAAAGTACATTGCACTTTGCATATTGTATATCTTATTGTAATTAAATCAAGAAATATGATATATATATATACAAAACACCATATATATTCATTATTCTCATAATTGATCCAATAATATGTAAGGAAGCACCTAAAATACATTACATGACAATATGACCAAGTCAAGGTATTTATTTTTATTTATAATAATGTGTCTACCTAATCAATAAACAAAATAAAAATAATCTTGATCTTCATGTGCATGGTCATATATTTGGAAATTTTGAGTTGGTGATCTGACTATACTATTGGACTTCTTTTAAATAGTGAAGAAATTATTATTATTATTATTATTATTATTATTATTATTATTATTATTATTATTATTATTATTATTATTATTATTATTATCATTGTTATTTTGTAGTTTATGAAACTATGTAACTCTTTGAGTTTGACCACATTATTAATTTATTAAAAAATACTTTAAAATATGTATTATTATCAAGAATTTCAAACATAAGAAAGATAAAACTAAAAAATTATTGGTGATTTTTTTTTTTTTTTTAATATGTTTATGAATGGAGGTTGGAAAAAGGTATTGTCTAATCCAAACACACTTTATGATTAATTGACTATATAAGTTGAGTTTTCAATTATAATAGTGCTTATTATGAAAAGATTCAAAAGGAAAAGGAGCTTAATTACCTATAAATTTGACAATTTGTCTCTCTTCATAAGTTTCCACATGATATGCATATTATTTCAAATGAAGATACTTGATTTAAGCTCTTTTGTCTAAGGATCTTTGACATTGTGAATTTGTGACACACACAAATTAAAGAACAAAAATAAACAAATAAAAATGGAGTTGATTAATACTATTATTGATTAATTGGTAAATATATAATTTTTAAATTTTAATTATGATACACACATATATTGGTTTTTGGGTGTTGGTGAACTACAATATTGACAACTGACAAAGCGTGGAGATTTATGTGAATATAACATGATAACCATGAGGATTTAATGCTACTTATGGAGCAATAACTAGTGATGAATGAGGATGTATTTAACAGTACTTACGATTTTATAATATGATAAAATGGGAAAATGTTACAGTCCCGTTACGGAACCATTTCGTTGGGATTTGTAACCGTTATATCATCAAGTAATCGTCATGGATAGTTGATCTAACGGTTATAAATCCCGACAGAATGGTTCTGTAATGAGCCCGTAGAATCTCTCAATAAAATGTATTTATAATTTCTATCATAGGAAAATATGATTTTGATTTTTTTGTCCGATTTTTAACTCAAAACCGATTGTTAACAAATTTTTTCCTTATATTCGGTTACTCAAAAAAATGGATCAATTGAAGCATTACAAAACGACTCGATTCCTTTTCGATCTATGCAGAGTTTAGTATATAAGCCGAGAGCCGATTACATTTTACCCGTTTCGGTTCCAATTCATGGCGAAGAATGATAAAAACCGGACTGCTCCTAGACCTAATTTTGTCTACTAATTTAGTGACCGTGAATTTGGATTCTTTCCACAATTCCAAAAATTCAAAGTCCCCAAACAATAAACCAAAAAAAAAAAAAAAAGAAAGAGATGGTCAAAAGAGGAAGAGAGGAAAAAAAAAAAAATGGTAGTTAACTTTGGAAAATATTACGGTCTAGTTACGAAACCATTCCGTTGGGGTTTGTAACCGCTGGATTATCACGTAACGTAAGAGAAAATTGATCTAATGACTATAAACCCCAACGGGATAATTCCGTAACGGGACAGTAGCCGTTATAGTTTAATTAGAGTTGTTTGCATGTATGTTTACACATGAAAATACTATATACAACACTCTCTCAAACACAGAGAGAGGACAGGCTGGAAGGATCCAAACCCCAAAACAAAACCCCACCACAAATAGCAGCGATTTACTGACAATTAATAATTGGGCCTCTTAGGGCATCTCCAATGGTAATAGCTATTACTAGCTATATAGTCAGCTGACATGGATGTGAGAGATAAGAAAAATAACTATTTTACACTATTGGACCCACATACTCCTCTCACATAATATTGGGCTACGTGAAATAGATAAGCTATTTGTTAGTAGCTAGTGACTACTCTCTCTCTTACTTTTCTCCTGTCCACGTCATAATAGTAGCCAAATAGCTAACTATTGGAAACACCCTTAGGAAAATTGACAGATCTCACACACACACACACACACACAAAACAAAATCAGAGTGAAGGGTTAAAAGTAAATTAAAATGGAGGAAGAAGATTGAAAGAACAGGGGAAGAAGAAAAGGGGGTTTGAGTCTCTCTCCTCTTTTTGATCTTTTTCTTGTAGTCTCTGCTAGGCATCTTTATCACTTTTGGCCTTTTTTTTTTTTTATTTTTAATTTACTTTTTAGCTCTGTCCCATTATTTACCTTCCTTTGTTCGTGGTATATTTTATTTAGTCATCTGTTCTTTCTTCTTCTTCTTGTTTTTGTTTTACTTTTTAATTTTTCACTTATTTTATTTTATTATTATTTTTTTTTTTAATTTTTTTTTTTTTTTTTTTTTTTTTTTTTTTTTTTTTTTTTTTTTTTTTTTTTTTGCATTCAGTGATTTCCAAGTTCTCTATTTCTACCCATTTCATCAGTTGGATTAAGTTCTGCTCATTCATCTGATTCTTCTCCTTCTATACTTTTTTTTTTCTATCTTTGTGGCACTGTTCATTCATAAAAGAACAATTTTCATTTTGGTTTCTTTTTAATTCTCTCTCTCTCTCTCTCTCTCTCTCTCTGTCTCTCTTTTGCAATCTGACAAGATTTTTGCTTTGTTTTTTTCCCCCCTTTCTTGTGCTTCATGGTCCTTGCTCACCAAGCTCAAAAATCCTATTTTTCCTCGAGTTACATGCTAAAGATCAAATCTTTAACCATTTTTGTATGAACCCTTGTTAATTTGTTGTCTCTTTTGAGTTCCAGTTTTCCTGGAATTAATTATTCCACCTCCAATGGTATGGATTTTTTCTAGTGTCCCGATTTAAGAAAACATTTCAGCTTCATTGTACTCATTTTTTCTTGAAAATTTTTATCAGCTGAAGGGCTGTTGATGCCATGGGGCTGTGTTATGGAAAACCCATTGAACCCCCAAAAAATCTTATTGAAAACTCAATAATCCTAGACGAAAAGGATGAACAAACCTTCAGTAGACCCTCTAATGGTAAAACCCCCAAATTCCCATTCTACAGCCCGAGCCCATTGCCAAGTCTTTTCAAGACTTCACCTGCAAATTCCAGTAGTGTCCCTTCGACACCTCTTCGTTTTCTCAAGCGCCCTTTTCCTCCGCCATCGCCTGCTAAGCACATTAAGGCCTTGCTTCTGAGGAGGCACGGCTCGATCAAGCCGAATGAAGCCACTATACCCGAGGGAAGCGAATGTGAGATCACCATTGGGCTGGATAAAAATTTCGGGTTCTTGAAGAATTTTAGTAGCTGTTATGAGATTGGGGAGGAAGTTGGGAGAGGGCATTTTGGGTACACTTGTTCTGCCAAGGGGAAGAAGGGGAGCTTGAAGGGACAAGATGTGGCTGTTAAAGTTATTCCAAAATCAAAGGTTGAAAATTTATTTTTAAGAAGAAATTAGGAGTTGAATGTTTTGGCTTGCAAGAAAATTGATATGAATTGCTCTCTGTGTGTGTGTGTGTGTGTTTTACTGTTTAGTTTAGTTTTTTTTTTTTTT